GTCCATATTCATCTTTTCCATCTGGTATTCATTATTATCCTTTGCAATATCATTTAACAAACTAGTAAATGTAAGTGTCCCCTTCATTTCTGTGAGCAGATCTAGAAAATTAATTGAACATGAGAAAAGTCTGATTTATAAGAGATCAGCAAAGAGAAGCAGAGGTAGGACACCAATCTGGGACTTGTGATTACATCTGAAATTGTGGCTTATTTTAAGAGACTGAGCCCCCAATCTGTAGGATCTTCAGGTAAATTATCCAAGAAGTGAATCAAATTAAAGGACATCCGTCTAATGACCACTGTAGTAATTGATTATCTGATGGACAGGAGGAAATAAAACACATTATCTTGTTATATAAGTGTTCTATGTTATAAAAATAGGAAAAACTGATTCTGTTTTTATACTTTTCTCAGTAGGGTAAATCAGGACATTTTTAGATGACTTTGAAAACAGCTAAAACAAAATAGAAATCATTGTTTTTATTATCATTAATATGTGCAGCAAACATTCTTTGCTTTATTCTACCCTTTATGATCATTAATATGGGAAGTTTCATTTTCCATTTTATTTGTTTTGACTTATTTGAATTTTTAAAGAATCAATTACTTGGAACACACCTGTAATCCCAGCATTTGGAGAGCTAAGGCAGAAGGGTCATAATTCAAGCCCAGATTGAGCAGAGTGTAAAATTATTGAGACCCTGTTTCTTCAGAGAAAAATATAAAATATAAAGGAATGGGTGAGTTTTCAGTGTGAAGGTTCTGGATTAACTTCTCAGTACTGAAAAAATGAGTTTTTTTTAAATAATTAGAAACAATAAATACTTTTTTATCTGTTAGAACTGAATTAACTTCTAAGAAGATATCCACTCTCTCCCCCAAACCAATCATTATAAGTGAGTGGTTTTAGTATTACACAAAATATCTATAATCCTCAATGAAACAAACAAACAAACAAAATTTATGATTCCTTGAGCCAGTCTAGAGCTCATAAGAAATTAATTTGTACTACTTTATTTACCAATGTTAGTAAATCCTAATCATAAAGCTTGAAGAATAGAGTATAAGCCTTTGCATTTCAGATGTAAAACAGGTTAAATGTTGCTATTAAGCAGATAAATACATACATATTTATTTTTTAACAAAATAAATTAGTACTAGGATCATTTTTATAAAGGAAAACTAAAACATTTGGAGATACAGGTGATGAAAGCACAGTGTATTCTCAGAGGAGTAGAAATGTTCTTGAGAATGACTGATAAGCCTCTCTGATATGAACAAGGGAAGCAACATCTGCTTTGTAGTTAGATGTAGCTTGTTTGATAGTTAGTATTGCATAACATTTCTTTATCCATGAATCTCAAGCTTTCTCTCCATACTCAGGGTGAGCAGCAGTGAAGAAAGAGCCTCAAGGTTTGGAGGCAGGTATCAATTTTATAAATCAATTTTGGCCCAATTGTGTTAAGGTGGTTGCCTCAAATTAACATGTATCCAAGAAAGGTGAAAAAAAAGTTATCATAACCATTTTATGGCCAAGATTTTGTTCTTCGCCAAATTTTCACACTTTATTAGCTAGATCACATCTTTGCTGGCAGCAGATACTAACTGCACTGTGTGTGTGTGTGTGTGTGTGTGTGTGTGTGTGTGTGTGTTTTAAATTAAACTTTAACAACCATAGGTTAGTAGATGAAACCATTTAAAATCCATTCCCTGTTCACACATAAAGTTTATCCAAAATGATGTTAATTATATTAGTGAATTAGTGATCTGATATTTTACTGGGTTGTTTGGTAGATCACATATTTCTAATTAAATTTTCATTGATTCCTGTGAAACAGCATCAGAATGAACAAACATTAGATTTCAAAGCTCTGCACATAGCACACAAAAATAAATATACCCATTTGTTCAAGCTATTCTACTTCTAGGCATATTTCCAGAAGAACTGAAAGCATCGTATCATTGTGATATATGTGCACCTATGTTTATAGCAGCACAATTTGTGATCATCAGATCTTGGAAACAACTCAAGTATCCATCAACTGAGGAATGGATAAAAAAAGTTGTGGTATTTTTATACAATCGAGTACTACTTGGCTATAAAGAAGGATCACATTGAGATATTTATAAATAAATTGGTGCAGCTTGAGACCATACTCATAAGTGAAATAAATCAAACTCACAAGCATGAATATCGAATAGTTTCCCTAGTGTAAAAAATGATTCAAATATATAAAAATATGTGGTAATCATGATTGCCCATTATGTGGCTTTGAAGCCTTATAAAGTTTTCACTCATTAATTATAATGGCTTTATTCTGGGCTGCTTGATATTATTGCCTGTGATGAAATCAACAGCTATTTTAAAGAAAACAAGACATCATAATAGCTAGTACTGATTTAATAATATCTTGTTTTGAAGTCCCACCAAATTGTTGTTCTTCTGACTACATTGGTTTTATCATGTTGTATCTTACTGGATTTTATTATATGTGATAGTAAAAACAAAAATTGTTATAGGCAAAGAGATAATGTAGAAACCATTGTTCGTTTTCCATTAGCTGGTTCTAAATACCCTGTAATACTTCCATCCACTTGAATGGTTTCACGCTGTCTTGATATGTTTGATGCTGTTGTATAAGAATTTATATTCAAATAGTTCAAGAAAAAACACTATGGTAACTAATATTAAGTTGGGTTATTTGGTGGTGAAGCACTAGGTTGCTGAAAATGTCATACTTTGACCTGTATTGTTATGTTGTTATGTCCTTTTTTATCTCAATCTCTCCCTTATTTATTAAAAAAAATTATTTATTTTTAATTAAGGGAAAAAATTAAAAAAATAGCAGTATATATTATAGCAACCTTTTTGATTTCCTATTAACTTGATTTGAAGCCCTGTATTACAACCACTATCTTGTTTTGACAGATTAGACTCTGTTCCATTCTGTATGATAGTATCAAGTTTGAGGATACAGGCAACTACTTTGAAGGCAATAAGATTCACTATGATGTCCATTCTGGTTTGACTTATTATCCTCTTTTGAAGTCCTGCAAATTTTCCAAGGTTTAGGTTTTATTGGTCTTGTTCTATACTGTTTTGTTCAATTTTATTATACCTAATGATGTAGGCAATTCTTTTTAAGGATGTAAGAGGCATTATGGTAACCATTGTTGATAACCTTGTATTCTGTTTTTACAACATGTGCTATGTCTATCCTTTGTTTTGACTGACTGCTTTGTTTTGTCATATTTGGTTTTATTCTCCTCAAAAAAAAAGTAATAGGAACTATGGGCGTAATAAAACCCAAAATGTGTAAACTTTGTTGTAAAAAAGAGGAAAAAAAAGTGCTCTAAAGGATACAACTGTAAGTGTGGTTAGGTGTGTTATGATAGATAACCATATTACTGAGTTTTTGTTGGATCATTGAACACAACTGTTTGCAGTCTCACTGTTTGAATGTCTACTTTGTATGCATTAATCCTATAACTTGAACAACTATTTCTAAGATGACAATATGTAATCTATTAACTAGTGATTTCTTACCATTTTTTGTAATTTTGTATTACTTATACTCTTTTACTGTTTTGGTTTTTTCTTTTATCCTTTAAATAAAATTTTTTTAAATAAATGAAAATATATAGTCAGTGATTTAAAAACTTTTAAGTTGATTTTGAGCATTTTACATTCCCTTCTGCCATAATAATTCAAAGATTCCTTTTAAAATTACATACAAGATGGCATTTTTGAATTGTTTCATTTTTACTTTTCTACCTAGATTTGTTAGTCAGATGCATAACAATTACTAGTAATACAATATGTAAGATTTTAGACTCTAAATTGAATTCAATTATGCTCAAATTTGAGATCCATCATTTACTAGTTATTTTATATTGGGCATTTTTTTTTTTTACTTTTCCATATCTGTGACTCATTTTCTCACTTAAACATCCTTATGAGGTTGTTGCAATAGTGAGATAATTCATTTAAATCTTCATGAACAGAAATCATTCTTTCATTCATCAGGAAAAAAAATAGATGACTAGTTAACTGGATGACATTCTCTTGCTCTCCAGAATAGTGTGTAGTATATTGGGCCCTATCATACATATACACACAGGAAGATACCCCTTTCTGAAGGCACCCTTAAGTGAATATTCTGGAGTTCAGTGGTACTGAAGTCCCTTGCAAGACAAAATCTAGTGATTAAATGGACATTCCAAATTAAAATTTCAAGTGGTAATAAATAGATGTTGAACGTATCAAAATCTCATCATGTCAGGTAAAGCACCTCTTGAAACATCTGCCTTAGTAACTAGATAGTAAACAATCAAATTCAGTGTTTCCTAGAGTACAAATGAATTCAAATTTCCTTGTAAAACTGCTAAGCAATAGACATAAGTGCCAAAATGCAAAACATTTGTGGAAGGGCTAGGTTTTCCTAGCCCATTCTGACCACATCTTAACCTCCGTTTCTGGACAAAAAAATCCAATCATTTGGGCAAATATCTTTCAAGGTATGTTAGAAAAGAGTTGCTAAAAGAAAACCTCACAGAAATCTTTATCTGTAACTTGGTATTGTAAAGAATGCAGCTTTTATGTCTGAAAATTGGTATGTCCCTAGGCAAATATCTCTTAATTTGTTCTGAGATTCTGAAGCAACAGTGCTTAAACTTTTAGCCACCTTGGCTAAATGTAGGAATCTAAGGCACTTTCATGTGATTTTTATGAATTTTTTTTTTCTCTAGCAAACTTGGCCTTTAGTATGTCTTTGCCTTCAAATTTCTGATCTCATTGGCTTCGAAAATCTGGCTTCAGTCCCAAAAGTCTGCATTTTCGCTTTATCTAGACTCCTTTGCCTACTGAGAAACTTCATACCTGTTTTCTGGCAAGGCAGGGCCTCTCTTGGCACACAAACCTGCCAGGCGAATCCACCCTTCAGGGGCGTGTCAGTTCTATTTCCTGGAGCAATTTCACAGGGTGGTTCCACTTTTCATTTAAACTCAAATACTTTGCTACCTCCTCTGCAGCTGCCAGACCTGCTCCTGCTCTTGCCCAGGTAACTCAGTTTCTCTCAAACACCACAAGAAGAGCTGGTTGATAAAGGACTTCTGTATATGAGCCTGCACTTTTTTTTCATTGTCTTTTTGTTTTTATTCCTTAGGGAAAGACTGACAAGATGATGAGCTCAAGCTATTTGAACGAAACCAGCAGCAGCTGTGGAAACCAACAGGCCTCTGAGGTGTTACAGTACCAGCCCCAGCATTACCATTGCCACCATCAGTCAAGCCAAGCCGAACAGCCTCTAGAAAAAAATGTAGTCTATGAACGCGTGAGGACCTACAGTGGGCCCATGAACAAGGTAGTGCAAGCCTTGGACCCCATCAGCTCACAGGAAGTGCTCTCCCCCATCAAAACTGCCTCTTCCTACCAAAACTTGGCTTGGAGCAACCATTCCCAGGTACAACGAATATAGCTATACCAGAATAATAGAGAAAGGAAACCTTGAACCTCATATTTCCTCTTTCTTTCTGCTTTTACTTACTTTACAGGGGATCTCTTGATGGATTGCAATTATGTGTGCATTGGACAATCTCCCAAGTTCCAATTCTTGGCTGTTTCTCATTTACTAGTGCTTGTGGCTGTTTGTTTAACAGTTCCAATGATTTTTGTAATCTAATCAGAGGATAAGAGAGCTCATTTTTCTGTTGAATTTAAGTGGAAGATCTGATCTAAGCAATGTATTTTTTGCCTCTAATGAAAAACAAACATTAACTTGCATACAATAGTTTCTTTAGGATTCTTATGAACTCAGTGCATATAGGATACAGAAAGGTATTTTTTTAATACCAATTACAGTGATTCAGGGATAATGATATGTTGGACTGATAATTATTTGTTTCCAGCTAATAGTATGAAGTGCTTCAGAATAACAGGCTGGTGCAAATGTCACCCTGAATTGTTATATGTGCCTCACTTCTTGACAAGACACATTGATTGCACAGACTAGATGAATTTTTTATGAAATATTGATATAAGGATACCAAAATAGTGGAAACAAGATTGTATAAAGGAAGATGTAAGTAATTGTTATATGAAAGCTACAAAAGATGGAACTCTAAGATACCTATGAAAGTGACATGAATTCGTTTCCAAGAGTTTGTTAATACTCTTGGCAATAAATGAAAAATGACATTGCAAGTCTGTATAAATTCAGAAGTTTTATACCTTTGTTTCATTCTGATGTCCTTTACAGAAAATGTGAATGTATTAAGCCTTGTGAAAGCTTCTGTCCAATCTGAAATAGTGTTTTCAAGATATAATTTGTATTGTGATGCTCTCACAAAGCAGTCACTGGTATGTTATCCTATGTTTAATTATTATACCAGTTTAAAATAGTATGAATTACTTTTCCAAAATTTTAAAATTTAAGTCGAATATGAAAAATTTCTAAAATAACTACATTTAAAGAATTTTTCAAATAGATATCGCTAAACCCCGAATGCTGCAATTTTGCTGTTACATTGAACACTTAGTATGATTTCAGGGAAAAGTACCAAAAAAAAAGATCTAAGATTAAGTCTCAGTAATTTGCTTGTTGAGAAAAACTCCCTCTGTACTGAGATCAAGGGGAAAACAAATATAAAGTCTGAAAATACTAGTTCCTACTAGTGTTAACAATAATGCAAATGGACATTCAAATACTCAGCAGGGTGTTGCTAATGCAAAACAAAGTGGGTTTGATCTTTGTTTCATATCCTATTTGTCAGAGTTACTTTATTCCATTAGCATCTTTTCATGTAAATTTGTTAGTGAAAGAAAATATATATGCATTTAAAAGCTGAAAACTGGAAAATTATAGACACTGAGTACAGAAAAGATTTTGAGGCCTTGCTTTATTGTTTGTTCCTTGGTTCAACTTTCTCTTTTAATGGTACGAGGCCCAAGCCCGTTGAGCTTTTTACAGTATGTTCCTTTTTTACCTAATATTTTCCAGAGTGATCCCCACACAAAAGTATTTCCATCCTGAAACATAGGCCCCCATAAAAATGTATGTAAAAACTTTAGGAACAGAAAGTTTGACCACAAAAACTGGAACAAGAGATTGGATTCAATGTCATTTTAAAACTTGAAGTTATTTATGATTGAAAATTAAAGAAAAGTAAGATGTAGGTAGAGATGAAGAAGATGGGATCAATGCTATATGGTAAAACAAAAATAAAACAAAACAAAAAGACTTACTTCCATCATTCCCTTGTTGGTACAAGAAAAAACCTAACTACACAATTTAAATTTTGTTGGATTTTATGATAAGAGAAAATGGCAGGAAAACTTTTAGATAGCTGACATAAAGAATCTGACAAGAAAACTCATCTGTTTTGTGTTATTTCCTTTCTTCCTGTTTATTTTTAGGATGGCATTGTGGTATTATATAAAGTGTACCTAGATTTGATCTGAAATTACCTGCACAGCAACCAAATGGAAAAGATATGTAGGCAGGTTTGTTATATACCAGGACAAGCAGGAATAAACAACACATGTTACTCCAAAACTTTTTTGTTAGTTGTAGGTTTTAATAAACTATGTCTTTAATATGCTATGCTTTAAATGAGTTTGTATGTAGCAGTTATTCTGGTGCCAGAATGTATGACTGGTGCAGCAAGGGAAATGAGTATTACATTCAATTCTTGCTCACAGTGAAATCAATTAAACTTTTACTTTGCTTTTAACATTTTAGTGTTTAGATAACTTTCAAAGAACTCATGAGATTTCAAAATATATGTGCCAGTAGTAAAATATATTCCCTTTGAGAAACTGAAAGTGAGATCAATCTGTTTTCTTTCCTGAATCTTAATTTTAACTAAAGTAGTACATTTAGATTTTAACCAAATGCAGAATTTTATTATTTTCTATTTCTAGTATATTAGACAATATTTTCCCCTATTATAATCTGTACACTAAAATAGTTTACAGATAAAAACACATTTAAATTTCTCTGAATACATAATGTTGCTTTGTTTCATGTCTATAATTGATCAGATATATTTTTAAATTGTTATTATTTTGTGTGATAAGTAAGATATTTGTTAAAAAAAAAACATAGAAACCAGTAAATAGGGAGGGCCTGAAAACAGACTGGGAGGGGGTAAAATTCAATATTTTTAGCAAACTGTTGCATTTGTCTGTGTAGAAAATGTAGAATATATTCTTTCATTTAGTAAATATTTTTTTAAAATATAGATGCTTTATTATTGTAGCTAAAACAATTGTTAATTATAAAATTTCTGAAAAATGTTTTAATTCTTTTCCTTACTTACCAGAAATTATTTACTATCTTATCTTTTGTTTGAGACGTGATTTTGTTTTTCCTTCTCTTCCCAAACTCTTGCAAAAAAAAAAAAAAAAAAAAAGAAGTGAATATATGTTAATGAATTGAGCAGACAGCTAATATTTTATACGCCTTTGAGCTGTGTAACTTAATATTTGGATGCTAAACACTTTGTTTTATGATATAACTGGTAAAATGGTGATGTATAAAAAATAAGTTACTTGAATTCATGATAAAAATAAAATTACTATCTTTAACTATACAAGTAAGGACATTGATGCATTTTTAGAACTGAATAGAGTATTATAAGTAAATGGATTTTTAGAATCTAATTAAAAGAAAAGAAGACAAAAACAAAAACTTAGAGCTCAACTTTAGAACTTAAATATTAACCAACGATCATTAATTTAAAATGAAATACTGCCTTAAATGAACAGGATTTATAGCAATTAGTTATTGAACTAACATCTTTCCTCCTGCTAATTTTCATGAAGTTCAAGATATTTTCAGAAAGGAACTCTGTTTTTGAGAAAAAATGGATGAACACATTTTTAATCTGAGTCACTCACTTAACACATGCTATATTTTAAGGAAAACACTGATTTTTCTGGGGAAATACCATTTGTTTGTGCAGGGAAAGTATACTTTGAAAATAAACATGGTCTATAGCTATCTAGTATGCCTAACTACATTTCATTTTAAAAGATTATTTTGTATTGTGGTCACCAATATAATGTGAGTATTACAAAGATTGTCCCACTTTTGAATTTGAAACTTATAATTGAATCTAACTCTAGGCAACAGCCTATGGGAAATGTGCACTTAAAAAAGATAGCTGCTATCCCTAATTACTCAATTTGGGTTTACCTTCTTTTACATGATTTTTCCCTTTGTCTTTGCTTCTCAAAATTACAATTGCTCCCCAACTTTGTTACGATTTCTGTTCCAGAAAATTTTCCTGTTCTGTGGGAGGTAGAATGTTGCTTTGATAAATTGTTGACCAAGGGTGTAGTCCCTAAAGTAAATACGTTCAGGGAAGTACGTGGCCTGAAAAAAAGAATAACGTCAGAATAAACCAACTCTTGTTTTCAGGTTTGGTTACTCCTTTTGTACTTACAATTAAATGAAGCTGTAGAAATTTTGAGTGCAACAAATTGCTGACAAAGATGCCCGTGGCAATTGCCTTTTGTTTAAAGTAGATCTGGACCTGTTTTCAGTGAAGGGCACTCATAAATTGTCATTGTGGGGTGACATTGTGTAGAGATAACAGCAAGAGGAACAGGAAGACGGGAAATTTTATTTGTCTTTGTCCAAATTTCTTTGTTTGATGATTCATGGTAAAAATAGAGATTTATTGTTATCTTAAACTCCTTTTAAAAGTTAAACTTTCTAAGCAAATATACTTCATTCAAATCTTTTCACACCAGGAGCTATTCTGATAAATACTTAAACCATTTAAAGCAAAAGCCTGCACTGCGATACACCTGCATATTTTATTTCTTCTGTATCTACTAGTTTTCTTCAAAAAAAGAAGAAACATGACCCAGGAATGAGTCGCTCAAATAACAGATTTCAGTTGACAAAAACGAATGAAGGGAAGTAGTCCTATCATTAGTACTTTATATTGTTTTTTGTTGTTTACTTTTTTTATTTTACTGGGAATAGAACCCACCGAGTCTATTGTTGAACTATACCCCAAGACCTTTTTCTTTTTTTTTTTTTAATTTTGATACAGCCACTTGCTTTCTATACATGATAATAGAGTAACAAAACTTTATACTAAATGAATGAAGTTTGTTTCATCAACAGAGAGATGATTATACTTTACAGGATATTGTTGTATAAAGTTCAGAGTAATATTTCAGCAGTAACTTAATGCATGGATTTAACTATGTTACTATCCATTCAAATGGTTAATTCTGTCAGCACAAATGTCAGGTAGTTTTAAAATATCTCACCTCTTTGCAATCTGTTGGACTACATTGTTTCTAAGCCAGTATTATTTGTTTCCAAAATTGTATATCTATCAAGCCTGATAAGAACATCTACAGGCCCCCATGGCTTTCCTTCTTAGAATATTGTGATATATTAGTCTTTAAGCAAGGATTCAATTTTCAAATTGCACAACATGA